AGGGAAGAAACGGGGGTGATGTCTCCCGAGGACACCACACACACCATCTCTCCTTCCTGTAATCACTTTAAATGTGAGATCGCTCCCTGATATGATTGAGGAGCTAATGACGCTAACCCGGTCACAGTGCCAGTAGGACGATCTGATTTCCTCGTGTCAGCATTGTTCCCACATCATCATAATTAATGTTGTTCCAGGTTCAACATTGCAAGTGACCAATCACCTTCTTGTGACGTCATTCCTTTGCGACTTCGAAATACCCGCCTTCGATTATTTCGAAATCCAAGTGAAGAAGCGAAAAACCGCCGCCTGTCCGCCAAATTTGAAGTCAATTCGCCTGTCCGCCGAATTTGAAGTCAATTTAGGATACTTTCCTTTAATAAATGGTAAGCATTATACATATGTTCCTCACTTGGCTTGCTGTTTGTTTGCTAGCGATAGGCTACTTGACGACAGCATTAGCTAACCAGTGTTCTCTAGACCAGCGCTCCCCAACTTTTTGGGTGTTTCGTGGCCCGGGGGTTGGGTCAGGCAAAATTGCAGTAGCTTCCCTGATCATTTTACAAACATAAGTGAAGAGAATCTGGACTAAAAGGCCTAGACTTATGGTTGTGTGCTGAATCTATGAATCAAACTATCACCTGGAAACATAATTAAGGCGGGAATTTTTTCGGTAACCCATTCCCATCTCTCCCACACAATAATAGAATGCGTGAATGTGTGTTTTGTTGTTGCAAAGATGAAATCACAATTTGAAACGATTTTTTTTTTTTTACTATCTTTTCCTGCAGCTTACTTATGGTCGAAACTCAGAATTCCCTAGGGATTTTTGAGGGGAAGCCTGGCAGTCTGTTGTTCAGCTATAGCCAGCAGTTGCTGTCAAGCAACAAGTTTTATACGGCTGGTAAACTGATTGCCTGGTCGATAGCACACAATGGGCCAGGGCCACGGTGTATCAACAGACACCTGTTCTGTATGATGTGTGGCCAGAAGACATCTCTTGATGACTTCGATGTAGAGGTCTTCATGGACGAAGACATCAAACAGAACATAGAAAAGGTAAAGCTGTGTGCATGCTGTGGTGTAATTAAATTCAGTGAAACACAATGCAAAGCTTAACTCATCAGTGGAACGTCTCAAAATGTAAGTACACTTAGTGAATGCTTTAAACGTATGTATTTATGGAGGTGCCTAATTTTCAAGGTTTCCAGCTGCAGCACCCCAGAAGACCTGGCAGACTTGAAAAGTCACCTTGGGGACTGGATT